CATTTGTGCCTAAGTGTTGGCCCTTTAACATGTGCATGTGTGTATGTGTTTGGTCCCTTATTTTGGTCATTTTGGCCATTGTTTTAGGCCTATTTAGAGTTGCCTAAATCATGTGTAAGTCCACCTTTCCATCAATTTGCATTGCCTCATGTTTGCTTGTATGCTTGCATAAGTTTGTTGTCATGCCATGTTGCATCCTTAGCTTGTATGCCTAGTTTGCATTGCATCTTGCATGCATGCCTTATTCCTTGACTTGGTGATAGGAATTGGGCCTTGGTTTGTTTGTTTGGTTTGCATTTCATTTGACATGAAAGTTGCACACTTGATTCTTTGGGCCGTCATGCGTGGAAATGCGTGATTGGCGGTCCGAGAATCGAGACACATGCCCTTTTGAGTCACAAACATGATAAGGGACATGATTGGTGCATATATGCCTTGAATTGTATTGTCATGCAAGTTCTGTCCTCTGCTGCTGTGAGTTGCAGGTTCTGCAGGCATTCTTTGCCGACCGGCAGTATATATTGCCGACCGGCAGTAAATCACCAGCCGATGGATTCATCTTGTGCCGATGACCACAATTCGCTGCCGGTGGTAATTCTACTTAGCCGGTGGTGATTCCCAGTATCCAGAGAGGCATCCTTGAGACTTTGGCAGTCTTCAGAGAGGCAGAGCAGGGAAAACAGAGGCAGACTATGCATGGCGGTGCACTTCTGAGCAAGACCCGAGCACGCGCTGCATCTGGCTCTCCTCCCGAGACGGTTTACTGCTTTTCCTAGCTTAAATTAGTTTGCTAACTGATTAGGCAATTTGTAATATTTAATTAGCTTGCGTAGTTAATTAATTTGTATTATTTATTTGGTCCCTCCGAGCGAGGGCAAATCTGTAATAAGTGTGGGTGAGTGTGTGTATGTCTTCCAATCCCCACTTCTTTCTTCCCTTTTATTTACCTGCTTTGATGGTTAGTATTAGGGCACGTTTAAATTAGCATACCTCATGCAATGCATGCATGCATTCATACATTTGCTTTGCATGCACCCGACTCGGTACATCATGCTAACTGCATCTGTATTTCAAATTTCAAATTGAATACGTGCATCAATTGGTTGCATTTCACATGCCATGTTTAGGTTAGCCGAGCCTACTCTAATTGCATCTTGCATGTGTTGCATTAGTCAACTTGACATGAACTAGGACATGCATGTTTGCTAACTAGTTTGTTGTTTTGGCACGGAGTACGATGTAAGTATTTTCGCTTTAGCATATCGCATGCGTGTGAATGCTATTATGACAGCATGCTTACCATGTGGCTAGATGCTTATGTGATAAATTGTTTAAATGCCTGTTGGTGAAGGTTGGATTGTTTAAGTTGGAAAAACTCGTTGAAATCCGTATTTTAGCCTACTTGCGAGTAGCAAATTCCAAAACATTTTCCAAAACAAACGGATATGCAATGTTTCTTTCCAAATTAGGCCATCTAGTCTATACTTGTTTGCTATGCGCATAACATAGTAATTCTAGGCTAACAATTGGAATAAGAACACATAATGCTTTCAAAAATGGATATCATGGTTAGTAGAGGCCGATCTTTGGATCGGGCGAGAGGGGGTGCTCATTGCTAACCTTCCCCAATCGTACCCTAGCTCCCGAGCCGAGACAACTCCAGTGATGACGGACATGTGGCCTTCGGCACCGAGTCAGGGTTTCCTAAATTTCCCCATAAAAAATATTTAGGTGGCGACTCTGTATCTGGCAAAGCAGTCCATGTTTGGCACTTCTTTTCTAAAATCTGTTTTCTCAAAACGATTTGCCAAATTTGGACTCTTTGGTTCAAGATTAAGAACCGTGACACAAATCGAGTCTGAACTGTAGCGAGGGCCCCACGCGGGCGCGTCTACAACCACCTCCACCCCGACCTCCTCCTGCAACCCCACCTTTGAAGGAAAATTCAACCATTAGAGCTGGACCTCCTCCGCCTCCGCCTCCTCTTCCTTCTAGGCAAGCTTCAGGGCCTACAATTTCTGCTTTAGTGCTCCTACTGCCACCTCCACCTGTCCCCAGTTCTTCATGCAAGCTTCTTCAAACTGCACCAGAGAGTGCTTCATGTGTCCCATCTGCACCACCCCCGCCTGTTCCTTCCGTTAAGGTAAGTATTGGAGATCAGAGTTTGTCCAAGTCTCCCTCTCCTACACCTCCAACTCTTGCCCCACCTTTTAGTTCTCCATCTGGTACAAAGGGACGAGGTTTGTCACGTCCTATAAGTTCAAGAAATAATCAAACGAAGAAGTTGAAGCCATTCCATTGGTTGAAGTTGACAAGAGCAGTGCGAGGAAGTCTGTGGGCTGAGGCAGAAAAATCTGGCGAAGCTTCCAAGTGCGTATTGGCATTATTTATTAGTTTATGGAGGAAGATTCCTTAATTTTTCTTACTTTCCAATCCCATTCAGTTTCATGCATTATATGATTGTCATCTGTGCACATTAGGGCACCAGAGATTGATATGTCAGAACTTGAGAGTCTTTTCTCGGCAGCTGTTCCAAATTTAGATCAAGGGGGAGCAGGCCGCAGATCAGGTTCTCATTCTTCACTTGGGCAGAAGCCTGATAAAGTGCAACTGGTAATCTAGTTTTCACCTCTGGTGGTGTTGTATGTATTGCTAATTATTTTTTATTTCATCTTGTCAACTTTTTAAATCTTGACTTAATTTTGTGATATGGTAGATGCAGGCTTGTACTTTTATCAATTGAGATGTTTATTGTTAAGATAGGTTGTCGGAAGAAATTGTCTAATGTTAACACTTTCTAACACCATATATGTGGAGCAACACTTGAGTTTTGTATTATAGCGATCCCGATTTTCTTTTCCTTTGTTTATTGTATTCCGGACGTGGTTCCGTGAGTGTGTTGATGTCGTATTCTCATTTACATCCTTTACTCTTTGTATTTGAGTCTTGGGTTGTGTTGGGCAGGTTTGAAACAGGTTGGTTGTGTTTAGAAACCAAAGGTTGATGCCCAGTTTTTGGTCTTCACACTCGAGCGGGAGTTTTGACGCTCGAGCGGGCCCTTTGTTGTTGCTTCTCTGCTCGAGCGGGAGTTTGGATGCTCAAGCGTGAATATCCATCTCCCAGTATTTTTCTCTGCAGGTCATCGGACGCTCGAGCGGGAGTTTTGACGCTCGAGCGGGGATCTTGGTCTGTAAAACTTCTGGAAGTGTGCATCCGGCGCTCGAGCTGCGCTCTTGATGCTCGAGCGTGAGTATGTGTCTAACGCTCGAGCGGGGAGTGCAGTATATCAATCTGAAGTTTGACTTTTTGGATCACTTTTTCAACTCCTTTTCTCTCTCTTACTTTTCAAAACCTCCATTGGAGAGCACCTCACTCTAAAACTCTAACTTCTCTCTAGGGTTTGATCTAGTAGGAGTGATCTTCTACCCTTAGGCCTATGAAAAAAGTGTGGAGCTTGTGGAGGGCTACATTTTGATCCGAAAATATTGGGGTTTGGAGCACTTTCAAATTTCTTCATCTACTCCTTTGCACTCCGGATTTGAGGTAGGGATAACTACTCATTTTTATGGTCTTTGACTTAAACTATTGGTCATTTTGATGTAATGTTGAAGTTGGGTAAATTTGGGTGTTAGGGTTTCAAAATGAATAAAGAGGGGTTTAGTCATTTTGACTCATAAATGTGTATCTTGGGTCTTAAAATGATGGTATTGATGTTGTTGATGATATATAGGACCTTTGGGTCATTGTAGAGAAAAATGGGGAGAAAGCCCTAAGTTGTAGTATGAATTAATTTATATAATTAATTTGGGAATGTTATGGAAATATGGAATTGAGTTGGAAATAATGAAATTGGCTCAATATAAGAGGGAATGGTGGAGTTGGATTTATTAATCGCTCACTTATGAAATTGTTGTCAAATTATCTGTTGATGCATTTATTATCTGTTTAGAAATAAATTGCTTTGGGCTATCGGTGGAGGATAGTTTTGATTGTTGTAGACAATACATGATGCTTAGGCGAACTAAAACTAATCAATTGATTATGTTATCGAATATGACGGTTGGGATAATACATAAAATTTATGTATTGACTGCTCATATATATGTTATGTGTTTATATACATTGTGTTGTGTGGGAGAAGATAGGGGATGCACTCCACGGTTTAGGGGAAGATAGGGGATGGACTCCTAAACCGGATTTTATTTGGGAGGAGATAGGGGATGAACTCCAGTGATACAGCAAATCTGTGTATCATTTATGAAGTATGGAAGTGTTTTAATGTGTTTTGATACAACAAATCTGTATATCATTTATGAAGTATGGATGTGTTTTTGATGTGGTATTGATACAACAAGTATGTGTATCTATTGTGAATTATCAGAGTATTGTTGATATGAGCTGTGGTCTCATGGGAATTGTTTGGCCAGGTTCTGAGCCATATTTATGAATTGAAAATCGGTTAAGTAAAGGAAAGAGGAATGAAACATGGACATATTTGTAATGTACTTGAAATGGGTTATGAATTGATTTATGTGGGTTAAACATTTATGAAATGCTATTGTTTTAGTTTTGCTCATATTATATTTAGCATATCTCTCCTGGGCGTTGGCTCACCCTATATGGGACATCATTTTCAAGTACAGGTGTTATGCCACCTCCAAGGACGTAGCTTGGGAGGCTTAAGGCTGTTAGACTCTTTTTGTTGTTTTTGTTGTATTACATGTACATCAAGCCAAGGGCTTATTTTGTGTAGAGTTAGTACTCTCCTTTTTGTAACCAAGTGTTGACTTGGAAAGTTGTAAGCTTATAGGGCATTTGCTTTTGTTGTCAACATGTAATACCTTTTGTAAGAATACTCTGATGATTGTAATATGAAATCTCTTTTCTTTATCGTAAATGTATGATATTATAGGTTTATTTTGAGGGCGTGACAACTTGGTATCAGAGCGTACCGGGTTTGAACACTTTGGGTACGTGGGAAGTGGTTAGTACCACAATGGGTTTGTCTCGCTTGTTAGAGACTTATGTATGACATTATGTGTTTATTTGATAACATGTTTATGTGACTATTTAGGTATGGGATTTAGTTTCTACGATGTTGATTGGATCCTTGGGTTTCTGGGAGTCCTGTTAGAAAAGCACTTGGTCAATGTTGTTTCTAACCGGAACTCTATCAATGCCTCGGGACTGTCATTATCCAGAAATGAAATTCGTAAGTGCTTATGTGATTATGTGCTTACGTGGAATGAATTACTGTTGTCCAATGCATTAGGACGCGAGTGTTATAGCTTCGGCACATTTGTGAATGTGCTAATGTTCTTCGTTACCTTTATTAGGATGTCAGGACGAGGACGTGGTAGTAGGCGAGGTAGGCCTAGGAGGCAGGAGATGCCTATTCCGGATGAGATTCTAGAGCAGCAGGAGGGTGTTGGTCAGGCCAATGTGGCCGAGCCAGTAGGTCAGCAGGCCATGGGCGCCTTAGCCCGCGAGATGGCAGGAGCTTTGAGGGAATCCTTGGGCATTCTCAGAGCTGAGAATCAGGTCCAGGCCCATGTTACTGAGGCAGGGCCTTTCTTTCTGAAGAGGGAGTTCTTCTGGTCTAACCCGGACGAGTTTGTGGGTGATCCAAAAGAGCCACTTAAGGCGGATGAATGGCTCGAGCAGATGACGAAGACGTTTGAGATGCTTGGCATCGAAGACGGGGCTTTGAAGGTGACCTTGGCATCTTTCCAACTTAAGGGGGATGCGGGTCAGTGGTGGAAGTTTATGAGGGGTCGTATCGGTGGCACTTGAGAGGCCTTTGTAGACGCTTTCCAGGAGAAGTTTCTATCTCCAGGTGTCAGGGAGAAGCTGAGGGACTAGTTTTGTCAGCTTAAGCAGCTGAGTTATTCAGTGGCCGAGTTTGAGGCCACATTTACTAGTTTATCCAGGTTTGCACCTGAGCTTGTGGCGTCTGAAGAACGTCGTTGTCTGGAATTTGAGAAGAAGTTGAGGCACGGGCTCAAGATGAGAGTTAGGGGGTCTATGACTTGAGAGTATGGACATCTTGTAGATGCTACAACCCATATGGAGATTATGATGCAGGAGGAGGAGGAGAGATAGAGAGGCTCCAAGAGGAGTCAGGATGGTTAGGGGGACGGTAGGAGGCAGAGGGGTCCTAACCCTCAGCAGTCCCAGGGTGCTTTTGCTAGATCGAATTTTCCAGTGCCGCGTGCAGGCTCTGGGAGAGGCAGTTAGGGAGACATTACCTGTTACAAATGTGGTTAGCTGGGCCACAAGTTTCCAGCTTGCCCGCAGAGGGGAGGAAGTCAGAAAGCAGCTTCGTCTTCGGCTCGACCTCAGAGCCAGAGTCAGGTCAGAGGCCATCCGCTCTCTTGTTACCAGTGTGGTCAGGCGGGGCACCTGAAGAGGTTTTGCCCATAGTTGAGTGCCACATCGGGTGCGTCTGGTTCTAGGTCGACATAGGGTTTTCAGCCAGCACAGTCAGTACAGGCCTCGAGGGCCAATCAGGGGACTTTATCGTCTCAGTCTGTGCAGTAGTCTTTTGCTCCTAAAGGTAAGCAAGTAGATCAGGGTCCTACAGGGTGTGTGTATGCTGTTACCGTGCAGGATCTAGTACCGGCTCCATCTGTTGTGAGAGGTACCTTTTTATTTTGCAACTCGGTTGCCAATATGTTGATTGATACGGGTACATCTCATTCCTTTATATCTACTGCATTTGCATCTGTTTTGGGGCTGGAGTTGGCACAGTTAGCATCTCCTATTTGTGTAGTATCACCTATTGGGGGTGAATTGATTTTGAAACAAGAGTGTAGAGGGTGCGATATAGAGGTCGCCGACCGCCGGTTTTCATTTTCTTTTGTAGTTATGGCTATGTCGGGTTTTGATGTTATTTTGGGTATGGACTGGCTATTGTCATACCGGGAAGTTATTGATTTTTACCGCTAGAGGGTCACAGCATGTACCTTGAGCGGGATTGTTTCCATTTCTTGGGGGATCGGGTTGGTAGTGTGTTGCCACCGGTGTATGACTCGCGAGGGCGGAGTGAGCTTAGTAGTCTTCTCGCTAGCTTTATGAGTAGTGAGTGTGATGAGATCCAGACTGTGTTGCCGAGAGTGGTTTGTGAGTACTCAGACGTCTTTCCCGAGGATCTTGTGAGTTTGCCACCACATCGAGAGATCGAGTTCTCTATTGATTTAATTTCCGGCACGGCGCCGATTTCTATGGTGCTCTATCGTTTTGCCCCAACTGAGTTGAGTGAGTTGAAGATTCAACCCCATGAGTTGCTGGATAAGGGCTTCATTCACCCTAGTGTTTCACTGTGGGGAGCATCGGCTCTCTTTGCTAAAAAGAAAGATGGGGCCTTGAGACTTTGTCTCGATTATTGAAAATTAAATCGGGCTACACTTAAGAACAAGTACCCTATGCCCCGTATAGATGATCTGTTTGACCAGTTGAAGGGGTCCCGTTGTTTCTCTAAGATAGATTTGAGATCGGGTTACCACTAGTTGAGGGTCAGAGAGGAGGATATTCCGAAGATGGCATTCCGTACACAGTATGGCCACTATGAGTTTCTGGTGATGCCTTTTGGGCTCACCAATGCACCGACAGTAATTATGGATTTGATGAACCGGATATTCTGGAAATTCTTAGATCGTTTTGTAGTCGTTTTCGTGGACGACATTCTGATTTATTCGCCTTCGAGGGAGGAGCACGAGGAATACTTAGGAGTGGTGCTTGAGT